CCAAAACAATAAGCCAAATCAAACTAATGACATCATGCTATGACAGGGCAGCAAAACTGAGAGACAGATTTCAAAGTTGGAGAGACATTTGCGGATGTTTTATGCCTCTGATCTGTGTCTGTGTTCCACCTTGAGTGTGATTGATGCAAAGGTTGGATTGACCATGGCACAGGTCAGTACTGCTGATAATTTCCCAGCATGCACTTGGGCAAGTCCCTCCATCGTCAGCCAGACCTGCCAAAGACCCGCCTTGGCCCACTGAGTTCTGTAATCACACTCCTCACTCACCTGCTGCTCGCTGCCGCTGGGTGCTCGAAATGAACACACTCGCACGCATGCCTCGACACACACACACACTCACACAGTCTTTGACGTGCGGCCAGGCACAAAGAGCCTCCTCATGGCACCTGCAGCAGTTGTGCTGGCATGAGCGATGATGGTGGGACGCAGCGACCCACCAGGCCAGCAGACGGTCCTGGGGTAAAAGGGCAGCTATTCAAAGTCGTCCACTGAGAGGGGAGGCACGCAGAGGAGACGGGCGTGTCGGTCAGCCTGCTGGATTCTCGATCGTTTCACTGACCGAGAGTAACCCCAAGACAGACTGAATCCTGCTTCCATTAAATGAGCAAAAAGTATGGTTTTCAACTTGGTTTTGGGGGCTGAATATTTTGGCTTCAGGTAAATAACTTTCTCTAGAATAATTGTTTTCCAATATCAGCTATACACCACATTTTCCGAATATTTTTATGCAACAGCCGTGGCCGGAGACATTATGTTTCGGGTTCTCCATCCGGTCCCATCTCATAAACACGGTATAGAAATGCCTGCAGGGAGTTTAGATTAGCTTTAGCTCTAGTTATAGAAACTAAATGATTCCAAAAAAAGTAAAAATTCTTTCTGCACCTAAAACATAGATACTGTAGCACACTGACATACAGCAGTCCTCCAAGGCAAGATACAGTAGTCTATAAATTCGGACTGGTGTGGAAGCATATAGGAAGCTCTCAGAATAGACTGCTTAAGATGAGCCCTGATTTGCAACATGACCACGTGCGTATTGATCTATTCCCCTGCACCAAGTTGTTCTCAGATTGATATCTCACTCTTGGGTTAATAATAGCCTTTGCAGATAAAACTGTCATCACTCCCCTGAAGCTAACAATATTTGTGCCTAAAAATGGAGCCTGGGTAAGAACGAAGAATTTTAGATTCACCTCAAAACTTATCTTCTTGAGGTGAAGGCAGAAAACCTGATATATGATTATAGAATATTTCAGGTGGCAATTCACTGAATTTGTGAGATCTGGGCGCTTATTGGCATTCTTGCTTCCCACATGCTGCTATTTGGAGAGGTCTGTCCCACAGCGCAGCTGTCCGTGTAAACCAGGGAGTAGCTGGAAACGGCTCATACCTTCACATGCTGCCAGAGGCTCCGTCATGCCAGTTATTCAATTCCTCCCGGATGCTTTGGCACCCAAGATTGGGGAATGAGGGCATAGTTAAGGTCAAAATTCAAGCAGCAGACTTCTAGAACAATTTCCTTTATTGTCATTAAAAGACAGAAAATGATCATATACTGCAATGTTTCCTCTATCTCAACTAAAACGATTTGGGGAAAGAAAATAAACATTGTGTATCATGTGTGTATCATGGGTTTCAGGGAGGAAGTAGCATCAGATTTAAATATCTGTTCGCTTTACCTTTTTGCTAGATAATATGAGAATTTCATATCCAGATGGAGCCTCTGTGTCAAAAATAAATAAATAAATTCATATAGCAGATGCCGATATTCACACCGCAGCAGCTGTTATCCTCCAAAAAAGATGAATCGTCTGTGGGGAAAAATGCAAGACGTTTGACAGTCGAGCTACTAAAACAAATTAGAGGTTTATTTTGCTTTGTCAGATTTCACCTGTGCTGCGTGATTACCATAAACCTATTCAGAAAGAGGACCGGTGTCAGAGAAGACGAAAGTAATTCAGATAGATGGCTGCACTCCACGATACTAAAAGTTTGATCAAGCAAGTGATGCAAATGCATCAGCGTGCAGCCTTTTTGCAGCTGTGCTTATGTGCTTACTCCTTTTTTGTGACCGTTTCAACTCTTGTAGCTTTGTTGCAACACACCAGGTGCCGGCGCACACGCTTCCCCCGGGGAAGAAAAAACAAAAAGAGCAAATGTCACGCCTCCCCCTCGCAGCTCTGTGGTGCCTGGTAAAAGTCAGTGCCTTTAAGCTCAGAGTTGTCAGTGTTGCCAACTGAGCCACCACGGGGCAGGAAAGGCCCCCAAGGGGCTGGCATTTGGGAGCCAACTCAGAGAAGGGAGCCCCATCTCTGTGGGGTGCTTAAGCAGAGAAAGCAAGTAAAGTATAAATACACAAATGACGGACTCACAGAGTGCAGAGTCAGCCAGAAACAGTCACCTGCATGAAGTCAACATATCCATGAAAGAGCTGCAGGGCAAACTGCGATATGAAGTAGCTGTTTTTGCTATTATAATCCTGCAAACACTGTAGTGGCCGTGATGGAAACCTCTCGTATCTTTACATCTGGGAAAAGCCGAGTTTGGTTCAGAATTGATCTGAAGGTTTTAGGCCTTCTAACAGACAACAATGCAGCCATCTGGATATGGAGAGGAGGAGAAATCAGAATGCTGAGCATAAGTGATGCAAGCGCTGCCTTTTGTTTGGCAGCTCTGATTACCAAGGTTACCAGGCAATACTCAACAGCAGTAGCTGTCACAGCAGGATACGCTTCGTATGATTCATGATTCGTGCAGTAGCCATCTTCAAACATTTCTGCCTCACTCTCTGGGCATGCTCATGTGATTAAGACTTAAATGATTGTCTTGAGAAAATGATTATCTACTGAGCAACATCTGTTCTCAACATCTGCCCTGTTGTATGTTCTGGGTCATCAGTGTGTTCTGCTCAGATCTGCATGTGTAGACCTGTTCTCTGCAGCTCCCCACGGCTCCATTGCATCCTGTTTAATTGGATACAAAGGGAGCCAAGACATGTTTTCCGCTCTCAGAAAGCTTTGTTGTTGTACCGTTAAAGTTCTTTAAGTACCAGAATGTTCACTTGAGAGTCTGCTTTTGCAGCGGTAGGCACAAAAGCTTAGCCGCTATGGATGAAAAGATGATTTAGTTGTCTTTATTGCCAGGGCTTCAGTGTGTCATCTTCAGACTGTGACAGCTTATTTGATGCTGATCTGCAGAGAGGTGGCAGTCTTTGGCTCACTTGGCATTCCAGTGGCAGGTCCAATCAGACCCCGGGGGTGGGGGTCTGCAGTGCAGCCGGCATCAGCAGTGATGAGGCCCTGATGACTGGAGAGGCTGAGCCCTTCAGGCTCGCTGCAATCTCCCAAATCACAGTCATCAGACTCCTCTGTCTTTCGGTCACCGCAGAGCAAAAGCACACGCACACTTCCAGGTCCGGCCGTCAATTTCTGCAGACCTCTGTGTTGTCTTTTCCCTCTTGAAGTGCTTGTGTTGCAAGAGTGCTGCCTACCTCTCTGGATAGTTGCTATGGAGAGGTGTATCCCAATGAGACAAAAGACACTTGGATCATAATGATTTCTTTTTCACAACATCCCTTTAGGAAAATGAACAAAGCATGACTCAACTCAATGTGCTATTTGCCTCATATTTACCCGATATTATTAGTTAAACACTAAGTGATTATGGTATTTATTTATGGTATTTTAATGTTTTACGTGGTATTACCCATTCTGTTTTGTCATCTATATCTCCTTTCCCTCTTTCTGGTCTATGGTGTCTCCTTTCAGGCTGAGGACGAAGAGGAGGATGACCAGCCTCTGAGCCTGTCCTGGCCCGAGTCCAACCGCAAGCGCCTCACCTACCTCTTAATCATACCCATCGTCCTCCCCCTGTGGATAACGCTGCCCGACGTCAGGAAGGCGGTGTGTGAGACAGAGTTCTCCTTCGCAAAACATTTCACACATGAACGGTGTCTGTTTTGGATGGCTAAGTGTGGAGTCCTTATTTGTGCATTTGCTGCTAAATTCACTATTCTCGCTCTTTTTGTTCTTTTGCCTTTCAGACATCAAAGAGGTTCTTCCCCGTCACCTTCCTGGGTGCCATCACCTGGATTGCAATCTTCTCCTACCTAATGGTGTGGTGGGCTCACCAGGTACACAGTTACCAAAGACTTGCACACTCCCTCAGAAATGACGTTGCAAAAATGAAGTGGGTGTCATGTGATTCACGACAGCAGTCCCAGAACATTGTAAAATCCGAACACAAGCATAATCCTTGTCAAAAAAAAAAACAAAGGCAAGATGCAGTCCTCTTTTCTCTCCAGTTCCCATCCTTGACATTTAAAATGAAAACATATTCTATAATCCACCCACTCCTTAATAATCACAGCTGTCTTATTCAAAACAAAGAGATTGTCAGAGCTACAGTCTTGTCACCTCCATGAGCTTCCCAAGCATCACGAGGACATTAAAAATAGGTAGAACAAAAGATTAGGTTTTATTTATGCCAAAGCTTAGTCTCCTTTTTTCTTCTTCTTTTTTTTTTCCAGGTTGGACAGACCATTGGGATTACAGAGGAGATTATGGGCCTGACTATATTAGCAGCTGGAACCTCCATCCCTGACCTCATCACCAGTGTCATTGTGGCACGCAAGGGACTGGGGGATATGGCTGTATCCAGCTCCGTGGGCTCCAACATCTTCGACATTACCGTTGGGTACGCCATCTGAGCTTGTGCACGCTCTTGCTCTATCTAAATCCCTGATATTGACAGGAAAACAAGAAAAAAACATGTTGAATTACAAACTTGCTTCATATTCTCGTCTTCTGATATAGAAGGCATCCTTTTTAGTCAGGATATCATTTAAACTTGGTTTGATCCCAAACAATGTGTAAAAAAAATGTTGCATTACATGAAGCGTCTTTGCTAAATGACTGTGACATGTGTGTATTCGCAGACTGCCGTTCCCCTGGCTCATGTGGTCCTTCATCAACGGCATGAAACCGGTGCAAGTCAGCTCCAACGGCCTCTTCTGTGCCATCGTGCTCCTCTTCATCATGCTCCTCTTCGTCATAATCTCCATCGCCGCCTGCAAGTGGCGCATGAGCAAGCTGCTCGGCTTCATCATGTTCATGCTGTATTTCGTCTTCCTGGTGGTCAGCGTCATGCTGGAGGACAAGGTCATCACCTGTCCCGTGTCCATCTGAGGACGTTTCGAGGACCCACTTCCTCCCCCCTCATCACCACCACAACCACCACCACCACCAACACGACCATCCTTCTTGTCTGCCATCTCTCTTACCAGACCCTTGTGATCCTTTACCCCAGGAACAAAAGAAGAATGAGGAGGACCGGACAAGAGAATAATATGGAATCTACCGATATTTTCGGCTAGCGAGGGGTGGTGGGGAGGGGATAAACCAACAAGGGCACAAGACTTTGGCTTGGCTGGTTTAGCGTAGGCCTAACCTGAGTGGATTTATATTTATTGTTATTATTTAATTGGCAGGCGAGGGGGGGGGTTATGGGTGTACAAGCCAAATATAGAAGCATTATGCATGCCATTTAGTGTCACTTAGATGACCTGGAATCAAGACCACGCCTGGTAGGTTGAGGAGAATGACCTCCTGTGAACTTTGGGGAGAAGAACAAGAGATGCGCTGTGTAAAACTCCTCATGTTAAATGAGGTGGCTGAGCTGAAATTGTGAGCATATTTGAACACACATTTTTCAACAGACTAAGAAGCCGTCGCCAAGAGTGAATAGGAGTTTGTGGATGAGGAAATTACAGACCGTGTGGGGGGTAAATGCGTTTCCCGTCTGATGGTATTGAGCGAAAAGACTCCCCCTGTGGGCTTTGCACCCGAGCAACAAGGGATGGAACACTCTTGCTGGGCAGACAAACTTCTCCGTTGTCATTTCTTATTTGCAGATTCATCATGCGCTCAGCCTGAATGACGAGTTTAAGCTTCCCCTCTCCCCTGCCGGATGTCATTCTTCACCACTGAATGTCTTTTCAGAGGATTCTTTTTTTTGTTTGTTTTTTTATTCATTTTCATGAAATATAAGAAGTAGCATTAGATGTACTGTAGCAGAATTAGTTAAGCCATCTCGACAATTTTCTCCTTTTTTTTTTTTTTTCTTTTTGCCGCTGAACACACGTTCTGATTGTACAGAACTTTTCATGCTTCACACGCACCGACTGACAAAGGCAAGAACAAAAAAAAAGGCCTAATTTGAAGTTTAGCCTCATAATATATGCTAGCCTTCAATATCTTTCACTGGTTGAAAAAAAAAAAAAAAAAAGGCATGAGTACTTTAGGCTCATTAACGTTCTGTAACGAAGTCAATGTCAAAATAATACATTTGAAAAAAAAACTTAACAGTGTTTAAGTGTAATGGTTGATTTAGGTTAGTCAATGTGTAGTGCTTTGTTCACAGTAGAACTGGGCTCAACTCACCGGCTAGTCAAACTCCTGGGGTAGTAGTTTCAAGGAGTCAACTGCATGTAAAAATAGACACTCGGAGGTGAATAATACCAATCAACATTTAAGAAGTTGTATACCAAAATGTATACTTTTTCAGACATGTTTCATAACTCCTTAATGCAAACCAGTGCTCAGTCTCTATGTAGAAAGTGTCGACATGTATGGTCAATGATATCTCTCGAACTTGTGCAATTTCTTTTCTAATCAAAGGTGCTTTCGTGTGCATGTGTGCAATCTGCATTTGACGTCATCACACAATGACCATTCCCTATATTTATCTATGAATAGAGGTTATACCACCAGTATTTTGCAACTAACTGCAAAAAAAGAAGAAAAAAAAACACCAAACGTGTGTTTTATACTGAAAATAGAAATCATAATCACGATCTCTCCTTAAGCTACATAGAATGTGGAAATCACAAATTTAACAGCAATATACGGTGTGTGTCGTCGTTGAGAACTGCAACACATCCCCCCCCTCCCCACCCATGCGCGTCTGTCCCTCGCTGTCCTTCCTGTCCGACGTGGTCCCAACACCCCACAAGAAAAAAGTGGGCGACCATTTCTCCCAAAAACTGCCCCCATCCTGTTAGAGCTGGCCAGAAAACACCCGCTTTACCTCAACACAGCCTCTGTACAGCAGCGTAGTAACTGTAAAATACGGTAAATAGATTCTCTGAATGTGTGAGGAAAAATGCATGTGAGGAATTTGGGCTGGTTACCCACTGACTGTACAGCTGAGCTTAGACCAGCTATATATGTTCACTTTTATGCATCCATTCAGAAAGAAACACCAAGAACTTATTGGTTATGCTTTGTAAATATACATTTCTGTTTTTGCAAGAACAAAATGGTTCACACGTGTATTATATTTATTTTCTTTTTTTTTGTAACAGTGGATGGAAAAGGTCAATGATATGCTGGAGGCCCTAAAGTACCATAGTGTTATTAAGCAAAAAGACAACTCAAAAGCATTTATTTTTAGACTACTCAACATCTCATTAGCATATTTTACACTGTAAACATGTCTGTTCAGGTTCAGGTAAGAAAACGTGGGTTTTAATGCCCTATTGCTTCCTAGAGTTCAACAACAGTCGGACTTTGTGATGCCGCCACTATATTTTCTGACATTTGTTGTCAAAGATAAATGTAATAGAAAACTATGAACCCGGCATCAACCAAACTCATATGTTAAACTGTTACGTGTGCCCTCGTACAGTATATCTCCTTGAACATTTCCCGAACCCAGATTTAAAAAGACAACTTCGTGAAATTCTCCTGCACACATTTGCCTTTAAACTCTTCCCTCAGAGCGCCTCACACACTAACATGATCACACCTCACCATTAGTTTCCCCTTCTCTTCAAAAGAAGAGTTAGACATTTTGGGAAATGCAATTTTTTTGCTTTTGTGCCGAGAGTTAAATAAGAAGACGGGACGCCACTTTCATTTCACTCGGGTAAACACAAAGCTAGAACCAGCACCTGCTTAGCTTATCTTAGTACAAAAACGATATATCTTGTTTGTTTAATCCATTCAAAAAACGAAGTGTAAAAAACCACAAGTTTTAGTTTGAAATGGGGTTAAGTGCAGGCCAAGCTAATTTAAGCTAACCGGTTGCTTGCGGTACTGTACAGACTTAAGAGAGGTACCATCTCGTCTGACTCTCAGTAAGAAAGATAAGACCCGTAGCTCCCAAAATGTGATTGCTTTAACGGGTCAAGAGATCATTTGCTACCACCACGCTCACATGTGCATCCTGTGCACTTCCATTGCGAAAACCCCTCCTATCAAGACGAAAAAAATATTTTTTTCTTTCTACAAGTTCCCACGGTGTTTTTATGTGAGACCATGAAGGGAGAAAGGAAAAAAACAAATCACAAGGCAAACCGGTTTAGCGTGTGAGCTTGGCATTGATTGTGATTCACCAGGGTAAGCGACCGTGAAAGTTGACCTCCCGACGAACATTCTTGCACTGTAAATGTTTTCATTTTCTTGGTGTTAATGTAAGATTTATTTAAGGTGTACATATATACAGATACAAATTAACCATATAATCTATATGTGTAAAAGAAATGTCTCTTTATGTAAAAACACAAAGTATATAATAAAACAAATAAAGATTATTCAAATATGCAACAATGTTTTCGCTGGTTTTACATTACTGTCAGTAGTGCTTTATTTCAACCCCCTACTTTAATAAGTGGTTTATAACACACCATAGTGGGGGTGTCAGCAAAAATAACTCCTCAGTCATTCATACGTATAATTATATGGCATTAGACATGGTTACAGCCATAGTGCGTGACGTAGCCTATTTTTTACTTAAGGATGAAGATCTGAACTTTTGTTGTATTTACACATCTAACAACCATATTTAGCATTTTGGTATTATTTAGCTAAGCTGTTCGGAAGATATGTGGCTCAGGAAAAATGGGCCCGATACTTACTTTGGTGACTATGGGGCGGAAGAATTGGTCATAATCATTAATAATAATAATCGCCATTGGAGTTATTAATTAAATTACAGGACCCGCCACTGGTCTCCTAAAGGGGCGGGGCAGTGGAGAAACCCACGTGACAGAGATACATAGGAACTGTCTCTATAAATACATTATGCCTGGAGGTGAGCTCGCTGCATCTCCCCCACCCCCAGGAGTCTTTGCCATAACATGTACATTTGGTTATTTAACAAAAACTGTTCCATCTATCTCCCCTTCCTGCCCCCTTTAGCTCTGGCTGGTTAATATAAAACGCATCACCAGTGCAGCAATGTGGGGAAGTCTCCACAGAGACCACACACAACAGCTCCGGTTTACTGCTGTGAAATACAGAGAGCTTGCCCTGATGATGATATATATGCTCAATCAGCATCGTATAGGAACTTGTTTGGCTAGGGCGTTAATGTAATGGATGTCAATTTATATGTAATAGTCCCAAACTTCAGCTTTAAAGTCTTATGGACAGCTTTTGTGCCCTCATCTCGCTAAATTTTGAGCTGCATAGTAGTGGTAAACAAGGTGTGGTTGAACTGGAAACCAGTTGCTTTAGATGTTTCCTGTAAGGCTTTCATTTGTTTATTTGAATTAAAGGGGCAATCCACAAATTTTCCAAAATAAAATTCAGTTTACTCGTCATGGTTAGTAAGACTCAATCTGTGAAAACGGTTGCATAAGAGCTTCTGCGTCTCTGGAGGGTGCTTTATGAAGTTGGGAAAAAAAACAATTTGATGATGTCATCAGGGTTATCTCAATTTGGTCTTGAGACTTAGATTTTCTAAGAAGTCACAAACTGAAAAACGAGGATTTGAATTTGGTATTTAGAAAGCAGTGGAGTCTAATGAAAGATGGTAAAGAGTTAAATTATGGGATTGTTGGATTAGTGTTTTTGGGAGCTTAACCTACACAACAGAATACAAGTTATAAAAAGGATATCTCTGCCTTTGCTGCATCAATGGGCATTTGACCATTCCTATATCTAATGAGTCCCCTAAGTACTAAATATTTGAAGTACTCCTTTTCATGCAGCATTTAATGGTCTAGTGTGCATTGTTCTGATTGCCAGTAATGACTAAGAATACATGCACATTAACTGAAAAGATTAATTCCTACAGCAAATAAACCATCAAACACATGAAGTCAATTTGGATGATTTTGTGCATCTTTCAAAAGTCATGCAAAAACGTCTTGGGATGCACACCCGGCCTACACAATTCTTATGTAACGGCAGTAGCCTCGATGACGATGTCAAATAGTAACCAGCACTGTAAACAATGACCTTTTTACAAGGGCAATGATTTGCATTTCTTCTCTGGTGGCGCCTTCCTGCCTGTATGAAGTCTAGTTGTGGAAAAGGGCGCCCTCCTGTGATCAAACCCAGACTCTTCAATATTTTAACAATAATGATGCAATCATCATTTTGATTCCTTCCTGGTAGTCCACCCACCTAAACATCAGTTTGAAAGGTTTCTACTGAATGACATCTCTTTTCTTTGGAATTGTGTCACACAGTTTAGCTGTGCTTTTACCATTTCCCCCCCAGTTACCTGGAAATAGACATGAGTCACACTTGTGTCTATTTGTCAAACTTGTAAGTCCCTGGCAGGCTTTACATGTCAAGCCCTGTTTTGTTTTAACAAAACCAGTCTTGATGGATTCCCATTGTGAGATAAAGTGCATTTCCAAGTATAGAGGATGATGCATGAAAACCTGAACCATGAGCCCGTATGTCAGGCTCTGTGTTAACCAACAACAAACAGTTTCTCACCACTGTTCATCGGTCATATTACCGACTTTCAAGGGGCACAGGGGGTTTCAATGAAAAATGGGCTCTTTCTCAATGTCCACAAACATAGAACCCTACATACCTTAGCTTGGAGGCCCGACTTCAGGCACAAGGTCACTTAAGGTAAGGCCTAATTAAAGCCATTGAAGGGCCTCTGCGGTATGACGTCAGAACCAGTGCATCCCATCAGACATCACATAGATATTCCGGTAAAATATTGTTTTCACAAAAACAAAGGGTAGTTTCGAGGTTCAAAGCCAGAAGGGAAAGTATTATGCGGGTGAGACTACGTGGGGTTTGAATTTCTGAATGTGAAAAGACATGCATGGTGGTAAGCATGTGATAGCATTGTTTGTGTTTTTTGTGGTAATAAGACACAGAAATCTCCTTTGCTGCTAACTCAACTAGGACATGTCCTAATAGCTTGGCCTGTATACATTTTTTTTCAAACGTGGGTAAAACCATTTTTAAGTTTAAGTTTGTATTTCACTCTGAAAGTGAACGCTAGTTAGCCTAGCTTGCTAACATTGCTGATGCTTTCTTAAAATGGTATTTCAAGTGCTTAGTCACTGGCTGCTCCTGCACACTCACTGGTGTCTTCATCCCACGCTATTTAAAAAGGGGGTGGCTAGCTTTAGCTGTCTCTCTTTATCGACATCTTTAATCTTTCCTCAGACGTGTGTTTCATTATTCCAGGTATTCCAAGATGTTTTGACGTCAAACCCAAAGACTGCTTGCCTGTACCTTTTCCCTGGAGACTGATTCAGCATGTGACCATCAACTACATTGAATTACATCAGTGATGAGTCAAAGCCGAATCACCACTGAGGTAAATCACACTGTTAATGTACACTTAAACAACAAATATATCCTACATGATCAGCTTTAGAGAGGAGTTGTTGTAACCTCTGTTCCTCATCAGATCAGAATCCTGGAGAATTCTGGGTTTTTTTCTGGATATACACAAGACTTTTGACTTTTTTGTTTGGAAGACACAATGATACGCCTAACGTAAGTCTAATGAGTAAAGAGGGGCTGTTTCTCAGTGTTAGTTTAGTTGCAAGTTACAGTTCAGGTTTAAGGAGTGTTCAACGGACAGCGCAGATCACAGATACTCACAAGGGAGGAAGTAGAAAACATATAGCAGTTAATAATACTTTGTCGTCAATAACCATTTTAGATAGAACCATAAATGTTGTAAAAAATTTAATCAATGGCCAGATTCAATTGAAATTTATATGAATATGATATTGTCATATACAGCACTCTATGTCATGAATTATTCTTATTATAATTATTAATATAATTGTTACTCTTACTATTATTTTATAATTGAAGGACAAACATTTAGTGTGTCCCTTAATGTGTGTAAGCATGTTGTAATTTACTATTTGTACTAATGTTAATTATTCATTTTCTACTTTAAATTGTACCTACTACATGTCTTATTTACACCCATATATAGACCCATTATAAATGACAGGGGGGATGGCAACTTTGATGTATAAAATCTCTAAAAGAGTTTTAGACATAACAAAGAGTGATTTTATTTGTATTCTTAGTCTACAAGTGTTTATATTTATGGTAGTTATAATAACCTGCAATCAAATAACTTCCCTTTAAGAATCTGTATACGAAGATATGCAGTGATCACCAAAACTGACACACTGAAGAAACACCCCCAAAAAATACCCTTTTTTTATTTATCCTTAAATACTAAGTTAACTTTTATACTTAAAATCTCAGACAATATTGTTTTGTCTCCAGCTCTTTTTGGGTTTTACTTTTAGTTAACAATGAAATAATAATTTCATACTTTTTAAACTCTCTTGTACTTTCACCCCAGAATGTCACTAAATTGTACAGTACACACACAGTGAATGTATTACTGTAAATAAGAGATACACTTTCTTGGTTACATGAAGAACAATTCAGGTAGAAGCCAATTCAGGTGAAATCAGGAGGAAGGGATCTAATTTCAGAGAAACACAGGAACTAAAGAAGAGACTCAAGTGCAACATATCAAGATGATGTCCGTATTGTTTTGTAACATTATGTAGCTCTAAGAGAACTAAGAATATAGCCTAATACATAGATGTTGGGAAGTTAAATCACTTCTAATATACATCGATGATTCATCAAGTTGACTGCGAGAAAAATCCAGATTCCTTTTTAATGTCTGAGTAAATGGCAGTGCTGGCAGAGTGTGGATTTTGCCTCTTCCAGCTCACATTTTACGACAGACCACTTTCTTAGTAATTTGCCAACAGTGAATAAACTCCACATGCTCCACGAGGGCAAGGTTAGTAGCACCGAGGGCGGCTTGTTCGGCGAGTCAGCTTACTACTTACTGCTCGCTGTCACAGGGTGTGCTTGCATTTGACTCAGCAAAAAGAAAAAAAAAACATCTCAGAGGAGGCTCCAGTCCAAATCCTGCACACTCACTCAATCCTGTTACAAGCTGGTCTGAGGCAGGCTCAGAGACACAGGCGAGTCATCACCAAAAGTGCCCTGTTTGGCTGTTTTTGGGGGGGATTCGTGTGGGGAGTTATTTTTATGAAACAAACAGGGAGGGCCTCAGTGGACCTGAGATCATACGATGAGTCACAAGAGGGTCTGTGTTGATCTGACTTGTAACTGCTGCACATGTGGCTCCGTGATTCAGCTTGACAATCGTCTGAGAGAGGGTTTTGGTTTGCAACCCAGACAAAATGATGGACAACAACAGCCAATAATGCAGTGACATGCCACGATGACATTTTAAGCTGAGTCAGAAACAGTGGAATAACACCAAATAAGGAGAAAGTAAAGCAGTCTCTCGAAACCTTTCTCAGCTGACCTTTTAAAAGAAACTA